CCAGAACAAGCTTCAGCGTAGTGCGTTCTAGGCTGGCCGAGCCGGGCTTGCGCTGAGCTGAGGTACTCTACACCCGAGGGGATCTGGGCGCGTTTTTGTTTCGTCGTAAACAAATGCAATCAGAAAAAAGGTAATACGTGTAGCACACTGCAGTTGCGGATAAGAGTGAGGGGGCGGCGGGGACGTCGGCAGTCTGCGAGGCTCTAAAGAAGCCCGCCGCAGGCGCACAATTGCTACAAGCTATACAACGAGCCCGCCGCAGCGCCGATTTTTTTAGCAAAGCAATGTGAGTGGCTCGCGGGTTGGGTCGCGGTTGGGTCGCGGGTGGGTCGCGGGTGGGTCGTGGGCCGGGTCGCGGGCCGGGTCGCGGGTGAGGTCGCGGGGTGGATCTCGGGTGGGTCGCGGGTTGGTCGCGGGCCGGATCGCGGGGGGGACGACGCCAACAACAACAACAACAACAACAACAACAAACAACAAACGATAACAAACAACAATAACAACAACAAAAGGGCCTAGCCTTCGAGGATCGAAGGAGTTGTCATCTCTTCCGCCATGAACATGTTTTTGGGTTCAGGGTTCCCGAAATTAGCCATATATATATATATATATACACAAGCGTATATAGACACAAAAGAGACAGGGCAAAGAGCACCTGAGGGGGAGGGGGGACAGCGAGGGCGGGGGGCAGGAGCGGGCGCACCGCCGTGCAGGTCCGCGCGCAGGGCCGCCTTTCTCCTTTCCCCGCTCCCTCCATCGTCGGTCGAAGAGTCTGACGCCTCCGAGGGAGGCCTAGACTGCAGTGGAGACCCATGGCAAGAAACACCCTGCCTGCCTCCAGGGTGCCCTGGGTTTCTTGGGTTTCGGTGTTTTTCCTGTGGAAAGCGTGACGTGCCCACACTATACGCAAAAACTTTTGACGCTCCGCGCGGATGTCTTGAATCTGCGCTGAGACGCCTTGGCGACGCCTCCGGCGCCGTCCCTGGCGCGCTGCGCGCGCGAGGGAAGGGGGTTCAGCGCAGATCAAAAAAGCCCACACGGACCTCCAACAGTTTATGCTGATTCAACTGTTTCTTCCTCTAGTCGGGGCCCCGCCATCCTTCACGGACACTGGCAACTGCCTCAACTTTTTTCTCATGAGTGTGCATCGTTTTCCGTTGGGCTCTCTCTCGACGTGCAAATCCATTTGGTTTTGCATCGTATGTTCTCGCCAGCCCAAGGAAGTTGTTCCAGTTGGCCCTAACGCCCATACGGCAGCGTCCCGCTTTGTTTTAAACTAGGACACGGTCAACCAAGGAAACGACACCCTTTCCTGCAAAGTCATTTTTTTGCATCCGTGCATCTTACGTTTGCTGCTTTGCAGGATTCGGGCTTGTGTCCGGGGTTAAGTGTGGTCTTGCAGGCTGGAAGTGCTGCAGTGCAGTATGTTGTTCGTGCCGCCGTCTGGAAGAAGTGGCTTCGATGGATGTTGGATGTCCTGGCCTGGCGTGTCCGGGTCTACGGGGCCCTGACCTCCCCTCGGGCCGGACGCAAGGGGGTGATAGGGAAAGGGGGGGGTGCGAAATCTGCAGCATGCAGCTGGTTTCGGCCCCACCGAGGGGCCCATTCCTCGATACATGGCCGCCTCCCGGCGCCGAGAGGCGCCGGGAAAATCAGCTACGTGAGCTGATTCTCAAACTCCCCCTTTGCTATCCCCCCCTTTCGCCCGGCCCGATCCCCGTGCCGGACACCGCTCGAGGCGGATGAGGACGGCGCTCGCGTGCCACAGCCTCTCTCTCTCTCTCTCTTTCTCCCTCTCTCTCCCTCTCTCTCTCTCTCTCTCTCTCTCTCGGCGGCTGCCGCAAACGTGGACCGCGGCCAGCCTGCGCCCCGCCCACGGGGCGCTCCTCTCGGGGCCCCGTCAAGCAAAACCTCCCCTCGCCTCCCGCACCCCTCCCCCCTCCCTCCTCCTCCTCCTCCTCCTCCTCCTTTTCCTCCTCCTCCTCCTCCTCCTCCTCCTCCTCCTCCTCCTCCTCCTCCCTCCCTCCTCCCTCCCTCCTCCTCCTCCTCCTCCCTCCTCCTCCTCCTCCTCCTCCTCCTCCTCCTTCTCCTCCCTCCTCCCTTCTCCTCCTCCTCCCCTCCCTCCTCCTCCTCCTCCTCCTCCTCCTCCTCCTCCTCCTTCTCCTCCTCCTCCTCCTCCTCCTCCCTCCTCCTCCTCCTCCTCCCTCCTCCTCCTCCTCCTCCTCCTCCTCCCCTCCTCCTCCTCCTCCTCCTCCTCCTCCTCCTCCTCCTCCTCCTCCTCCTCCTCCCCCGCCTCCTCCTCCCCCTCCTCCTCCCCGCTGCTGCACGAGGGGGGGGCCGCTCGTGGCGAGGGAAGTGTGGCATCTCCGCTGCAGCCCGAGCGCGCGGCGCTCGACGCGGGCGGACGAGGGGAGGTCGCCCTCCGGGGCGGCGCCGCGGCAGTCGTCTGGACGCTCGGAGGGGGCGGGGGGGCGGGGGGGGGGACAGTCGAAGGAGGAGAGACTCGTACAGCCAACCTGCATTGTCAGGATGGGCAGCCTGCCCAAGGCTAATTGCCCTTGCACCCTTGCCTCCTCTGTCCATTCTCAGACGCTTTAGCTGGCCGCGCCCCGCCCGCAAAGAGTGGAGACGGCCTCCCAAGGCCCTTGCATCCTTATCGTGCCTTCTTATAAGACGGATCGGCCGTAAACGCAGATTGTTGGAGCTCCTCGTGGATTTTTGGAGCTGCGCTGGAACCCCGTGGCGGCGCCTCCAGCGCCGCCCCTGGTGCGCTCCACGCGCCAGGGAGGGGGTTCAGCGCAGATCCAAGAAATCCGCGCGGGCCTCCAACAGTTTATGCTTACGCAGTTTTTCCTTCCCCTAGAAAGGGGGCCATGGGGCGGAGGAGGGGGGGGAGGAGAGGCCGGGTCCTAGGCGGTGATTTATGCATAACACCGCCTGGGGGGTCTGACTTCGGGGACCCCAGCAGGCGGTGGACATGGATATGGTCGAGGCCTCTTGTGCCAGATTTGTGTGTACATATATATATATATATATATGTGTATATATATATATATGTATACCTGTAGCACCCCGCAATTGCGGATAAGAGTGAGGGGGCGGGCGCGGGGTGGGTCGCGGGTGGGTCGCGGGTGGGTCGCGGATGTCGCAGGTGGGTCGCGCGGGTGGGTCGCGGGTGGGTCGCGGGTGGGTCGCGCGGGTGGGTCGCGCGGGTGGGTCGCGGGGTGGGTCGTGGGTGGGTCGCGAGGTGGGTCGCGGGTGGGTCGCGGGTGGTTCGCGGGCGGGTCGCGGAGCGGGGGGGGGCGACGCAACAAAACAACAACAAGAATCCTCGCCGTGGATCCCCTTTTCAGCCACGCACCCAGGAACAGTGAATGACCGTTCGGGCCCCTTCACTCATATATATATATATATATACACACACGTGCATATATCTATATATATATATATATTTATGTATCGGAGTAGGCTGGGGGAGGGCCCAGAACTGCGACTTCTGGTTCGCATGGGGGGCCAGGGGGGCTCCAAGAGGGTTCAGAAGGGGCCCCGTAATTACCCCCCCAGAGGCTCCCAAGCTGGCCCAAGAGGCGCCCAAAGCACCCCAGGTTGTCTGGAAGGAGGCTGAAGATCGCACTGAGATGACTTCCGGACGGGCCACTAGCGCTCAAAGACAGCCCAAGACTGCTCCTAGACATGGGCACTCAAGACGGTCCAAGAGGCCGCTGAGGGCAAAAATCAAGCATGTCCTGTGGAAAAGCGAATCTTTCTTGGATGTTTGCTTTTCAGTCCTACCAGCGGCCGCGACTGCCCCAGAGGCTCCCCAAATGAGCCCCAGACGGCCCAAGAGGCCCCCAAGAGGGCCCCCAGATGGCCTGAAGAGAGCTTCAAGCAGCACAAGAGAGCTCCAACACGGCCCACGAGAGTACCCAGGAACCCCGAGGGGGCCACCGGAGAATCCCTACATGGTTGGAGAGGGACCCCCTGGGGCCCCAAGACGGGCTCAGGACCCCATGACGGGCGAAGAGGGACCCGGAACGGCCAAACTGGGCTCCTGCAGAGGGCCCAAAAAAGGCTTACGGATTCCCTGAAGACTGTCCAGGAGGCCGCTGAGCAGGTTCCCGGGTGCAAGAAACTAGCATTTCCCATGGACAAGCGCATATTTGTATGATTTTCGTTTCTCATGTTCCATCGGCGGCCACGTCGGCCCCAAGGGCTCCCCAAATCGGCACCACACGATCCATGAAACCCCCAAGAGGGCTCCAAGACAGCCTCAAGAGAGCGTCGAGCAGCACAAGACAGCCCGAGAGAGTACCCAGGGGTCCCGAGGGAACCACCAGAGGATCCCTACATGGTCGGAAGAGGGCTCCATGAGGGCCCCAAGACGGCCCAGCTTCCCATGACATGCCAAGATGGGCTTGGGACAGCCGAAATGGGCTCCCAGACGGGCCACAAAAGGCCCCAAATGACCCCCCCACGAGACGGCCCAAGAGAGCCCCCAGGAAGCCCGAGGGGGCCACTAGAGGATTCCTACATGGTCGGAGAGGGCCCCAGGAGGGCCCCAAGGCGGGCTGAGCTCCACGACAAGCCAAGAGGGACCCGGAACGGCCGAAATGGGCCTTCAGACGGGCCAATAAAGGCCCTAAAGGTCTCCAAAGGAAGGCCCGGCGAGGCTCCAGAGACTGCCACAATGCTTCCAAAAAGGCTCCCGGCGCGCGTTCCAGTAGGCACCCGTGTACTGGGTGCGTTGAGAGAAGGGAGGAGGAGGAGGAGGAGGAGGAGGAGGAGGAGGAGGAGGAGGAGGAGGAGGGAGGAGGAGGAGGAGGAGGAGGAGGGGAGGAGGAGGGAGGAGGAGGAGGAGGAGGAGGAGGAGGAGGAGGAGGAGAGGAGGAGGAGGAGGAGGAGAGATGAGGAGGAGGAGGAGGAAGAGAGGAGAGGAGGAGGAGGAGGAGGAAGAGGAGGAGGAGGAGGAGAGGGGGGAGGAAGATCAGGAGGACTAAGAGGAGGAAGAGGAGGGGGAAGAGGAGGAGCGACATTGTTCTTGTGAGGTTATCTTGTTCTCTGATTCTCTGGCTCGGGGAGGGATGCTGAGGACGAGGAGGGAAGGGGATCGCAGGATGAAGAGGGCTCGAGAGAAGGAAGGAGGTGAAGTAGGTGAAGGAACACAAGGAGGGACGCACCGAAGAGCGTGGAAGACAGGGAGGAGGAGGAAGAAGAGGAGGAGGAGGAGGTGAAGGAACAGGGATCCCTTTCAGGGAGACGCCGACGAGGAAACGGATAAATATAAGGTGATGGGAAGAGGGATAACGGGAAGAGGAGGAGGGTAAGGGGACTGCAGTGGACCGGGGTTAATGACGGCAATGACGCTGCTGATGATGATTATGACTATGCCGACGACGACGCCGAGTACTATCAAGATGTGGATGATGCGGATGATGATGCTGAAAAGTACGATGACGATGATGGCGATGGTGATCACGATGTTGATGATAATGGTGATATTGATGATTGTTGTGATGGTGATGGGAAGGTGACCGTGGCCATGACGATGAAGGTGACGGGGATGAGGATGATATTGATGACGATGATAATGACCCTAGATAGAACTTGAGCGCGCGCGAAGCGCGCGCGATGGTTCTAGTATATACACATATATATATATATATATGTGTCTATGTGTATGTAGATGTCCATCTCCATATCGATGTCCAGCGCCCGCTCGAGTCCCAAGGCGTCAGTTCCACATGCGGTGGGTATGGATATATCCTCGCCTCGCTGCGGGCTTGCCATTGCAGAGACTTGAGTGCGAGAGCCTTGCATCGTGCGCGTGGTATTGAGGGCAGGTCTTCCTTGTCTTGCGCTCGCCGCACACAGCGATGTTGGAGGGCTTCTACCATCCCCTAGAAAATGCAGGCGTGGACACGCACGAGAGCACAAATGAGACATCCTTGATTTCTACAGTGAAATCCATAGCAAGGACGGGTAACCTTCCCAAGGGCACCCTTGCGTCCTTAGATTTTTTCGGCAGTGCGCCGCTAGAAAAGCTTCAACTGGGGCGTCCAAGGACCGTCCAAGGGTCTTGCGTCCTTGCACCGCGTCCTTGCTGCATATTTTGACTGTACCACGCGCGCTGCGACCGGGACAAGTTAGGCCTATGCCATAGGAGGCCACGACATGTGTCCAGCCGAGCCACGTACCGTGCCGTCAAGACGCTGAAGTGGACCACCTCGGGCTCGGGAGGAGCTCTGGTTTTCGGGCCGTTCCTTCGATGCAGGTCTGGGAGCCTCTTCGTGGCCCAGGCTCGATGAGGCCAGAAGAGCCCCCTTCGTTCCGGCGCCGGCGCCGTCGGGCGGCGACGACGACGACGACGATGCTCAGCGCCCCCGATGGCAGCACAATGCCTGCCACAGGGGCCCGCGTGGCGAGGGCGGCGGGCTGCCCACTGGGAGGGCGAGGCCGCGAGCCGTCGTGTGCTGGTGGGGCCGTGGAGCCGCGAGGGACCGCGAGGGGCCGCGCATGGAGGTGGGAGAGGGGAGGAGCGATGTGGGTGGGGGGGGCTTATATCGAAGAAGAAGAAGAAGGAGAAAACAGATGCCATATGCATAAACTTTTGGCGCTCCGCGTGGAGTTCTTGGATCCGCGCTGGGCCCCCCCCTGGCGGCGCCTCCGTCGCCGCCCGTGGCGCGCTCCGCGCGCCAGGGAGGGGGGTCCAGCGCAGATCCAAGAAATCCGCGCGGAGCGCCAAAATTTTATGAGTATGCCGCTTACCTTTTTCTTCTATTATAGACCCAGGCCCCCTCGCGGTCCCAGTCTGCACACTTTGAGTTTTCATGGTTGGCGTTTAGGGAGGTATGCGGGGAAAGCAGTCGTAGCAGTCCGTAGTCTCGATGGCTTATAGGAGGCACATCGTTCACAGGACCCAAGGCTCCTCTTCTGGCTACGGTACGGGAAGAGGCGGGTCAGCAATCCTGGCGCGGTGTTGCGAGCAAAGACATAGTCGGTCGAGGTTAAAGCTTTCACATTGCAGTGAACGTGAGGGGAGGAGCGATGTCATGTCGGGGGGGGCTTATAGACCAGGGCCCCCTCGCGCAACGAGCAAAACCACAATGGAAGGTTTTTCGCTATTTTCGGCCTTTGGGGGCCCTTACTGGGCCCCAGGACTGTCAACAAGAACGGCTCGGGACGAAAAACCAGTCCCAGGGAATATGTAGAGACCTCTGGGGGCCGATGTTATGAAAAAATCATGATGTCGGGGGTTTGGGGGTGGCCCCATGGGCATGAGAAGAAGGGAGCAGGGGAAGGACGGATGAGGGAGGGAGGGAGGGAGGGAGGGAGGGAGGGAGGAGGGGGAGGAGAAGGAGGAGGAGGAGGAGGAGGAAGAGGAGAAGGGAGGAAGGAGGAAGGAGGAGGAGAAGGAGGAGGAGGAGGAGGGAGGAAGGAGGAGGAGGAGGGAGGGAGGGAGGGATGGAGGGAGGGTGGAGGGAGGGCGGGAGGGAGGGAGGGGGGAAGAGGAGGAGGGGCAGTGCAAACCCAAGACTCATCAATGGTGTTGGTGCACATTCTCCCTCCAAGCTCCTTCTTCGTAGGCCCCTACAAAGATTCATTTCCACTGAGGGAAGTGCTCCGTTTGGGAACATCCGTGTGAAAATATTGAAGCGTGCGAAAATACCTTTCTCAGGACTTGAACACCGCGACTCAACGAAACAATTGCGCAATGACGATCCTGAATCACTCCGAAGCACCATTTCGGGCAGGTCAGCAAAGAGAACCAGTGAAACTCTTGCATTTTTTTAAACAAATGTGCGCGGCGCTGAGGCGAGAGCCACATTTTGAAAACGAGCCGCCCTCAATCCGTGAAGCTCTTGCAATGTTTTAAAACGAATATTCGCGGCGCTGAGGCGAGAGCCACATTCGGAAAACGACGCGCCCTCAGTCCGTCCAACTCTTTCTTGCCGCTTTTGTAAGCGAATGTGCGCGGCGCTACGGCGAGAGCCACATTCTGAAAACCACTTGTCCTCGATCCGCGAAGCTCTCGCAGATTTTGGAAGCGAGGCGGCGCTGGGGCGAGAGCCGCGTGTTGGACGCGACCCGCCCTTCGTACGCGAAGCTGCGAGCTCGGGGCGCACAGAGGGGTTGTAGAAGCCGTCTCGGTCGACGTGCCCAGCCCGCCCCTCCGACTGGCCTCGGGGTTCGACAGGGAGGAGCCACTCAGAAGGGAGGAGAAGAAAGAAGGAGGAGGAGGAGGAGGAGGAGGAGGAGGAGGAGGAGGAGTCACTCAGAAGGGAGGAGGAGAAGTCACTCAGAAGTCACTCGCGGGGTTCGACGGGGAGGCAGGGAGGAGTCACTCAGAAGGGAGGAGGACCGAAGAAGGAATACAACGGCATACACAGAAACTTGTTGGCGCTCCGCGCGGATTTCTTGGATCTGCGCTGGACTCCCCTCCCTGGCGCGCGGAGCGCGCCAGGGGCGGCGCCGGAGGCGCCGCCAGGGGAGGGTGTGCCCAGCGCGGATCCAGGAAATGTGCGCGGAGCGCAAACGTTTGTGTTTATGTAGTTTTTTCTCCTTCTAAAGAGGAGGAAGGAGAGCACGCGAGGTGCCCCCGTCGCGACGCTCGCAGCGCTCGCATTCCCCCTCTCGCGGCGCGCCGCGCCCGAAGGGGAGGCGGGGACGTCTGGGCGCGGCTCGTGCACGCCGACGGCTCTTGCTCGCCGGCGGCTCGGGCGAGCGGTGCCCCCTCTTGGGCACACCGGAGGGGGGGATCGAGGATTGTCAGGAGTGGAAAAAACACGCAGACACAGTTAATCGGCGATCCCCAGAAAATACGGGAAAATAGGGGAAGTGGGGGGGAAGACAGAAACCCAGAAAATATGAGAAAATATGGGGAATCCTTTATTTGTGAGTATTTTTTTGTGTGTCCTGGGGCCCCTTCAGATTGGGGGATCGGGGGGCGGAGGGATGGGTACAGGCCGGGGGGCTCGTAGAGCGGGGGGGGTTATCCCAAGGTGAGCGGCGCAGAAAAGCGGGGTCGTCTTCACCATCACTGGCGCGCAAGTGGCCCGCGCGAGGTCGTCCGTGGGCGCCTTTACTTCAGATCTGGCGTGCCGCGCTGGCGGCCCGCGTGAGCCACCGCGTAAGGTCGCCGTGCTAATTATCTCGCGCAAGACCCGCTCTTGATAGTCGCTTGGGTGGGGGTCGGGAACAGACCCAGCTGGATTTGCACGGGCTACTCTGTTTGCGATCTTCCTCCAAGGCCACCTCAGCCCCTGCCCCACCTTCGCACGCCGTTTGCTGCAAGTCTGTAGTTTCGAATGCCCAGATCCCAGTGTACTTCAGGCGCCTTCCTACCTCAAGAATGGATATGCTTCTGTTGCGTGCTGCTATTCTTCGGGCAGGCCGGCACCCACTCTACTTGATCCTCCGATTTCATGTGTCCACGATCTCCTTCCGACTGGCGGGCACGCCCCCCCGAACAGGGAGGGGTGGCAGGGGAGAGGAGAGCAGCAGCCTCTGGACAACCTGGAGCCATGAGGAGCAAACTGCGGCGGGAGGTTTCCCGCTATTCATGCATCCTCTGGAGGCCGCCACTTCGAGAAGAGCATCGAGTACATAATTGATTGATTATTCGCGTTGACGATTCCATGGTAAATGCGCTGGATGTTCGTAGTTCTACATAAACCCTTCGCATTGCTCATGGATTCAACGAAGAAATCAAGTTTGAGATACATCAATTCTGCAGTCGATCCCCTACTCTGTTCCTGGGCCTCGGGGCCGTCAACAAGTGACTCGGGATGAGAATCCGGTCCTGGAGAACGGGTCGAATCCCCCGGGGTATGACGTTATGAAACGATTGCGTGGGGGACGGAGGGATGGCATTGTGCTGCAATGCGTGTGCCAGGGCTGGACCTAAACGGTTTTTGGCGATTCCGTGTGCCGTTTTCGCTTCGACTTCGTTTTGCGGGAAAGGCAGATTCGAGGCAACAGCCAGGGAGAACGAAAACAAAACGAAAAACGAAAAACACCGTCTAGGTTCAGCCCCGGCACGTGCTGCAAGGCATGCGGTGCAGGCCAGGCGGTGCAGGCCATGTGGTGCACTGCGCCCGGTGCTACCAGTTTGAAGCATACCCCTATCCCTACGTTTGGCATCACCTCACCACGATGTCGATCTCAAGGATTCCCTCAATTTCTGAGGGCCTGTCCCTGCGATTGCCCTCGCTTTTTGCTCGCCCATCTTAGGGATAGGGATGAGTTCGAGGCTGGTTACGGTGCTGCAGCCAGCGCACGGGGGGCCGCCCACGGGCGGCCACGGGGCGAGGACGATGGCACCGCCGGCGAGCGCACGAGGAGCCCAAAGGGGGCGCCCACGGGTGGCGCCAGGGCGAGCGCACGGAGCCTCCCGCCGGAGCGCGAGGCGGCACGAGCGAAGTGCCCGGCATCGCTCGGACGTGTGCATTTCTCCTTCGGCGAGGACCAGCGAAGAGCATCCTTGATCAGTTGGCAAAAAAAACCACGCACGAAACCGAAAAAAACACAGGGAATGGACGTCCGAGCGAAGGCCAGAGTGGGTGCGGAAAGAGTGGGCACGGTGCCCCACAGCAGTTCCTGTTCCTTTCGAACAGGACTCGCTGCCCGCGCCGCCGCGGCCTGTGTCCTTCTGAGACAGGAGGCCGCCTGCCCGGCCCAACAGCGGCCGCTGTTGGTTTGGGACAGCATTTGCTGTTGGGCGTTGTGCCCATGTTTTTCCGTACCCATTTCGGGCGTCCAAAATGGGGGACCCACGAGGAGCCCGAGAGCGGCAACAGGCTGCGACCGAGCGAGGGCCTGGAACCGCATGCCGATTGCCCGAGAAGCGAGGCCAGAAGCCCCAAGTGCAAGCACTGCCTGGGGAGCTTCGGGTCGACCGCGATGCTGGATGTGTTCCTCCACTCTGCACGCTGTCTGACCCGGTCTGGAGGATTTGGGAAGCTCGGGCAGGGGCGAGGCGGGGGGGAGAGCGCCGGGGGGGAGAGCAGCGGGGGGCAGGGGAGTTGTGGAGGAAGGCTGGGAGGGAATGGGGAAGCACTGCAAGGATTACCGCAATCGCGAAGGTGATGGAGAAACAAAGCCGCGAGGGGAGGTGAACGGAGAGCGGGAGGGGGATTCGCGACGAGCGCGGGGCAGCGAGGAGTGGGAGAGGGGGAGCTGGAACGGAGAGGGGGTGGGGGAGATGGGAGTGGGAACAGGGGAATGGGGGAGAGGGGAGGAGGACGAGGGTTGGGAGGGTGGAGAGGGGAGTGCGGAAAAGATAGAGGCGAGAGGCAAAAATGAAGAGGGGAGGTGACGACAGGAATGAGTGGGAGGAGAGGAAGGGGGAAGGGATCTAGCGGGATCTAGGGCCTGCTAGGAAGAGCATCGTCTGGCCTTCCCAGGCCTTATCCCTGGTTGCGAAACGCAGATGACGGACCCGTTTGGCCCCCCCGAAAACCAGTAGCCATTCCGCACAAGCCATTGTACCCCCAGCCACTTAGCGCATGAGCGCGCCCTAGCGTTGTAAGTGATGATGCTTACCTAGCTGCTACTTCCTGTCGGGCACCGAGCATCGCTGTCACTGCCTGACTGCTCCCACCGACGCGCCAAGCAGTCACTGCTAGCCGTCTCGCGCGAGCTGATCCCAGCGTTGTAGCGGATGATGTTTCTCCAGGTTCGGTCTCGGTACTTACAATCGTTGTTGCCATCGCTGCGTTTTCTTACCGCCAGAGCATGATGGCCGTGCCTGCCTCCGCGCACGAGCTGACCCCGGCACTCTGGCTGAGGACGCTGTGCTCCTGCTACTACTCGAGCCCTGCAATCGCTGTTGTCATCGCCCGCCATCCCGCATTGGCAGACCCTGCTACCGCCGCTGCTGCCACCGCCTGCCCTCTCACACCGCCAGGCACTGCTGCCACTACCTGCCCTCTCGCACGGGCCGGTCCCAGCAATCTGCCTGATGATGCTCGGCTCCGGCTGCCCCTTCAGTTGGGGACCGAGGTTCATGGTTTACCTGCTGCCACCGCCTGCCTTCTCGCATGGGCACTTCCTTCTGCCATGGCGTTCCGTCTCGCACGAGCTGACCCCAGCGCGGTAGCTGATGATGCTAAGCTCCTGCTCCGCCGTCGAGCACCCACAATCATTTCTCGCTCCGACAGGCCCTGCTGTCAAGACTTGAGTTCTCGCGCGAGAGGGCCCGAACAGCAACGCAGCAGCGCAGCTGATGGTGTGTTGCTCCTGGATCTCCGTCGGGTAACGGCAGCCGCTGCTGCCGCTGCCGACGTCCTCGCATTGACCGTCCTTGCTGCCACCGCCTGCCTTCTCGCACGTGCTGTCTCCTGCTGCGTTTAGCTAAGGACGTGCACTTCTTGTTCTGCCATGGGGCACCGGCAACCGCTGCTGCCACAGCTTATCTTCTCGCACGAGGTGGCCCCAGCATTGAAGAAGCTTATTCGGTTTGGCACCTGCGCTAGCATGGCGCACCGACAGTCTGTGCTGCCACTGCCTACTTGCTTTCACGAACGGTTCCCAACAAGGTAGCCGATGATATTGCTGATCTCTGCTGGTTCCTGCGCTTCCTTCGGCCGGATGGCGATGGGGGGATTAGGACATGGGGGGGTGAGTATCCGGTACCGTTTTGTTGGGGTACAATTTGTACCCTCTCTGCGGGTCGCAAGTACACATTGTACCTTCTCCCCCCCGTTAACATCCTCGCACATGTCGCGGACGTTGTCAAAAATACAATTTGTACCATGTCTGCGTGGCGTCGGTACAAATTGTACCTTCTCCGTGGGGCGTAGGTACAAATTGTACCTCGGTTGCGCCTCTCTCCCCCCTGGACTTATCCCCCCATTTGCATCCCGCCAATTCCTTCCAGCAGCGGCTGAGGTTCATGGTCCACCTGCTGTCACTGCCTGCCTTCTCGCTCCGACAGATCGTCCTACCAGTGCCCGTTTTCTCGCACCAGCTGACCGCAGCAGCATTTGTAGATGATGATCTGTTAGTGTTGCTCTGCTACGTAGCATCGAAAAGCGCTGCTGCCACTGCCTGCATTCCTCACACCGACGGACCCTGCTGCCAATGCCAGCCTCATTGCACAATCCACTCCCAGCCTTGTAAGTGATGGTGCTCAGCTCGCTTTCTCCGCTGCTCACTGCCTGCGCTCTAACAGCAACGACGAGGCGGCTGGCGCGACTGCTCTCCACGAGGCGGAGGCAGGGTGGCTCCTGGCAGTAACTTGTGACGTTGGACACGGCTCTTGTTTGTGTCAGCCCTCGAGCGCATCCCCACTTCGAAGTTGGCGCTCGCAACGCCCGCGTGTGCCCCGTGCAAGGGGGGACACTTAGGAGCAAAATGGCTACAGGAGAATGGGAGTAGGAGGAGGAGCAAGAGAAGTAGGATGACGATGATGATGATGATGATGCTGATGCTGATGCTGATGCTGATGCTGATGCTGATGCTGATGCTGATGCTGATGATGATGATGATGATGATGATGATGATGATGATGCTGATGCTGATGCTGATGCTGATGCTGATGCTGATGCTGATGCTGATGTTGATGATGATGATGCTGATGATGATGATGATGATGATGATGATGATGATGATGATGGTGATGATGGTGATGATGATGATGATGATGATGATGATGATGATGATGATGATGATGATGATGATGATGATGATGAGCAGGAGGAGGAGGAAGAGAACGATGAGGAGGAGGAGGAGGAGGAGGAGGGGGAGGAGGAGGAAGAGAACGAGGGGTGGGAGACGGATGAGGGCGACGAGGGGGACGAGCACAGAATGTGAACGAGGACCACGTGGACGATAACAAGGATTACGAGAACGGTACGCGTGATTATGCGATGAGTGAGACGATGTCGCTCTCTGCTGCAAGGCGCCCAGATGTACAGCGAACACAATCAGAGGTAGCTTTGGCCATGGTAGTTTTTGGACATGCCTCGGTCGCGAATTTGTGAAGATCTCTGTGCTTTCGTGTATGGCCTTGTAGCCCTGTTTCTGGTCAACACCTGGTGTCTCCTGATTCCTTTGCCCCCCGAAACCTCCAATATTTCAAGGTGGAGGACGGGAAGGGGGAGATGACAGTTCGAGGAGGGACAGGGGAGGACGTCGAAGGGATTGCGAGAATGAAGCGGATGACGAGGATCAAGAGGGAGTCCGTGAGGGGGGACGAGGAGAAGGGCGAGGAGGAGGAGGAGGAAGAGAAAAAGAAGTCATGTCTCAGTTGATACGTGCCTTGACCAACTTGGCCACTGGGCAGCCCTGTGCCGATCATCTCTGGCTGTGGGAGGAGGAGGAGGAGGAGGAGGAGGAGGAGGAGAAGGAGGGGGGGATAGCCGCAGCAGCAGCCACAGGCCTCGCGGGAGGAGGGCGAGGAGGAGAAGGAGAAGGAGGATGAGGAGGAGGAGCAGGAGGAGGAGGAGCAGCAGCATCGGAGGGAACAGCTGGAGGGCAATGACGAGCCGCATGCGGACGAGGATGAGGAGGAGGATGGAGAGGGCGACGTGGACCAGGAGAAGACAACAGGTCCGATCCTACGAGCATGCGGGTTCGGCTGCCCCCCGCTGGCTTCGATACAGGCGCCGCTGCCGCCGTCATCCGAGGGTCCTCGTCCCACTGTCTCCGTCCCCTGCCTTGCTGCTGGCCCCGTGTCCTCAGGTCACCTTAGGAGGCTTCTGCCGCACTGCCCCCCTCCCAACACGCGAATCGCAACTCCCTCCCCTTCTCCCTTCTCGCCCGTCCTCAACATCTTCTTCCGACGCCTCCTCTCCCCCCTTTCGAAGAACAGACCCACGCATGAACATAACTAGGCGTGCTTTGCGGGGCCTCCCGCGCCGCCCCTGGCGCAGCGCCGATCTGAGAAAGCCGCGCGGAGCTCCGAACGTTACTGTTTATGCAGTTGTTTGTTCCCCTGCCCCTCGCGCAGCCACGCGTACGTGACGCGCAGGCGCTGGCAACTTCGACCGTGCAGAGGCGAAGGCCCGCGGGGCTGGGAAGGCACACGGGGCAGTATCGGAGATGGGAAGCATGGTGGAGGATCCGCCACATACACACACATATATATATATATATATATATATATATATATATATATATATATCGGAGGTTGGGGGGTGAGATCGAAGTGGAACGGAGAGCCCCCCTACTGGGAAATCGATTTCGGTTTCGTGTTCGTGCGTGCCGTGCGGGCGAGGCGAAGCTGCGTGGGCGGGCGAGAGAAAGTCTCCTGTGGCTGAGGCGCGGCCGGACCAAATGACTCCCTTCCGGGCGGCCGGTGGCCCGCGGTGTCCCGCCGGTGTCCCGCTGGTGTCCCGTGTGGCTGAGGCGCGGCCGGACCAAATGACTCCCTTCCGGGCGGCCGGTGGCCCGCGGTGTCCCGCCGGTGTCCCGCTGGTGTCCCGTGTGGCTGAGGCGCGGCCGGACGAAATGATTCCCTTCCGGGCGGCCGGGGCGGCGCGGTGTCCCGCCGGTGTTCCGCCGGTGTCCCGTCCGTGTCCCGTCGGTGTCCCGATGATGATGTTGATGATGATTATGATGATGATTCTGATGATGATGGTGATGGTGGTGATGATGATGATGATGATGGTGATACTGATGATGATGATGTTGATGATGGCGATGATGTGATGATGATGATGATGATGCTGATGCTGATGCTGATGCTGATGATGATGATGATGTTGAGGTTGATGATGATGATGATGATGATGATGACGTCGATTGCGAGATCGATTGTGATATCGGTAGTGAGACCGAATGTGAGATCGATTGTGCGATGCTGATGGTGATGATGGCCTTCATGGTGTTGATGTTTGTGATTATGATGACGACATTGATGATGATGATGATGATGATGATGATGATGATGGTGATGGTGATGCTGATAATCATGATGACTACGATGATGATGATGCTGATGATGATGATGATGATGATGATGATGTTGATGGTGATGTCGATGATGATGATGACGACGTGGACTCGCGGCTGTTGGGTGACGTAAACAACTCGACACCAACGCTCCCAAGAGCGAGCGGCAACGCAACTATCTCCACTGGCATTGTCACAACAACATTCACCACTGTTGCCCATTGCTGGGCCCCTCCCCCCCCAACCTCCTTATCACCCGCAGGGTGGTCGTATAGGTATATATACATATACAGATCTATATACATACACAGACACCCTCCAATGGATTGTTCCTGGGCCTCAGGGGAGGTGGCGGTGTATGAATCACCACTGGGGACCAACGACTTCTATACACCGCCACCCTCCCTGAAGGTACATGCAACATTCGTCGGAGGGTGTCTGTGTATATATTCTCGTGGCGTACAGGAGCGGAAAATGAGGACGACGCGCAATAGGTCTTCCTCCTCGTCGTCCTGTTCTTCAGCTCCTCCACCCTGCTCCTCACCTCCGCCTTACCTCACTTGCTCCTCACCTCCCCCTCCTCCACCCTGCTCCTCACCTTCTCGTCGTCCTCTTCTTCCGCTCCTCTACCCTCCCCTTCCGCACCTCACCTTCCCCCTCCATCCTGCTCATGACCGTCTCATCGTCCTCCTCGTCCGCTCCTCCACCCTACTCTTCCGCATCTCACCTCCCCATCCTCCACCCTGATCCTCACTTTCTCGTCGTCCTCCTCTTACGTTCCTTCACCCTCCTCCTCTGCACCTCACCTCCTCCTCATCATCCGCTCATCGGGAACAAAAGAACCCTTACCCAAATAACACGATAAAGACATGGCCTAATTGAGGGTCCAGTCTTCGCATAAGGGATAATACATCTAGGTGGTTTGGCTTGATATATCTGTAAAACAGACAACCTTGTCCCTAATTTTCCTCGCGCTAATGTCTCCCGCCCTCCTAACTTAGGTCACCTCCCAAAGGATTGGGGGTCCTTTTATTGTCAATCATCCTCGCCCTCAGGAGGACGAGGAGGAGCAGGAGGCGAGGTGCCCTCCACCCCAGCGCTCGGCTCCAGCCGATAGGCTCCTGGCTGCGGGGAAAGGCAGTACGTAGGCACAGCCCGCGCGACCGCAAGGCCGAGAGCCTGCGCCAGGCGTGCCGGCCGGGCGCGCGCCCGACCTGGGGGTGGCGCCAAGCGCAGCGGAGGGAAGGACGGAGGAGCTGAGGAGGCAGGAGTTCGGCAGCAGCTCATGGGAGCCTCGCGTGCCCTCGCCATTCCGTCCTTCGAGTGCGCCATCGTCGAGCAGCGCCTGGGCCCGCGACCCCGCGGTCGACGCATTGGCGAGCGCACAGTGTGCCCCGCTCCCAAGCGGGAGCTCGGTCGTCAGGCAACGTGAGCGCGGCGCCGAGGCAAGAGCGACATGCCGCCCTCTCGCGCGTGATGCGTGCCCGACCTCACTCTTTCCACCCAAGTCGCAGCGTCGACGAGGAAACGTCGATGCTGATACGGTGCAAGGGCTCCCTCGAGGGCGCGAAGTTATTCGCGCTTCGCGCTTCGCGGTCCTCGTTCCTTCTCCCCCTCCTCCTCGTCCTCCTATTCTCCCTTTGGGGGGGCGGCGCGAGAGCGCGAAGTTATTCGCGCTTCGCGCTTCGCGCAGCGCGAAGCGCGAAGTTGGGAGCCCTTGGTTGATGTTGCACTGCTTCTGATGGGTGGGGTGAAAGGGCCGAGATGAGGTCGCCATCGGTCGGCGAGGTGGCAGAGTGGAGGTACACATTGACTGGGAACAAGAATACGGTCGGGCGCCTTGGCGTAGCGTGTCGCGTCGACGGTTTTTGCCCGCTGCGCTTCGGCGCGACACGCTAACCATGCCCCCATTTCCAAGCGTCAGCGTCCAGAGTTTGTCCCAGCCTCCCGACCCGCGGAGCGGAGGGACCCGCCACCCGCTTGCGAGGCATACCGTGCGGCCGGCTCCACCGCTGCGACACTTTGAAAAAATGCTCCCGACCGCAGCAGGGAGCAGGGACCCGGGAGAGGGATGCATTAGCTCAACGGGGGCCTTGAGAGCTTGCGGGGCGCGTGCGGGAGGGAACATCAGGTGATGTGTCTTCCTCGAGGGCGCTGGGCGGGCGAAGCGTGGTTTCGCCTGGTGGGCAGCAGGGAACAGGGACCTGGGAGAGGGATGAATCAGCTCAACGGGGGCCTTGAGAGCCTGCGGGGCGCGCGCGGGAGGGAACATCAGGAGGAGGAGGAGGAGGAGGAGGAGGAGGAGGAGGAGGAGTGATGTGTTTTCCTCGAGGGCGCTGGGCGGGCGAAGCGTGGTTTCGCCTGGTGGGCGGCCGTGGGCGCCTCGTGGGCGCTCCGTGGGCCTGCCGGGTGACACTGGGTTTCGCCTGGTCGGGCGCCTCGTGGGCGCCCCGTGGGCGCCCCGTGCGCTGGGCGGGCGTGGCGAGCGTTCGCCTGGTGGGTACACCTTAGGCGATGCTTCAGAAAACTTAAGTTTTCGGCCCGAGTCTCGATTATGCTTAACGTTTCAATGTAATTCTTAAGGTTTTAATGGACACGTCGGGTTTTTATTCAAGTTCTGAGACTATGAATTTCTTAACCCATGATTTCTTAAGCATTTCGCAGGGTGTAGCCGTGGGCGCCTCGTGGGCGCCCCGTGCACCGGGCGGATGTGGCGGGGGTCCACCTTGTGGGCAGCTTGCACTGCATAGCTTGCACCACGTATTTTGCACCACAGAGTTCACCCCGCACGTAGTGCTCGTCTGCGTGGGAATCAGACTCTGCCCCCTCCCCGCGGTCGAGGTTATCGACCTCCCCCCGAAGAGCATGTTTTGCCATGCTGATTCTGCACGCTCGCTCATCCTGAATACCAATTCGTATAACCCCAGGCAGCCATGCATCCCCCCTCGCTCCTGTCAGATCATACCATGCTGAGCGCTCGAGTTGATCTACGAAGCGCGTCATGTGACAGTGCCCAGTAAAACATGTGGACCACCTGCACGCACCCCCCCCCGCGCGCGCATTCCAACATCACTATATTGGTTGTCTAGCACGCTCAGGTCACATCTGGCCCGTAGCTATCAACAACGGGATGTTTTCAGCAGAACTTACTATATTTATCACCCGCGCTCGCTGAGTCGCCCGCGCGCTGCCATGCTGTCGACTGAGACAATGCTGGCCACACGCGCGCAAGTTCCGAACGCAGAACAAAAATCATTGCACACCCTCCAGCTCTGTTGAGGGCGTCCACACGCGCGCGTCTTCGCGCGCACGTCGAAACCCATGTGAACACAGTCTGTGTCCCAAGAATTTTAGCACCGATGTGTTCAAACGCGTCCAGCCAAACAAGATCGCAAAGATGGGTAACTTTCCAAAGGTGCTCGTGCTTCCTTGAGAGCTCCTTGCTTCTCGGCCGGCCCTAGCCCGCATCCGAGGACCATGGACTGCCAACGTCGGTTCCAAGCTTGGCGTCCAAGGGCCTTGCATCCCTACTGTGCCTCATTCTCTTCTCTCGCACCGCTTGTTGGAAAAATAGGTATGTACTCAATCGCACATTTTGTCAGCGTTACGAGTACAGGTCGCTCGTTGAATGTAGGTATTTGGGGTTCCCGGATCCCAATCTACTTTAAGCGCCTTCCTATTTCAAGAATTGATATGTTTGTGTGTTTTTGGTGGGCCAGCGCAACCCTAATCTACTTCTTGGGTTTGGCTGTCCCTTCCCCAGATGATTGTTAATACACCCTCGGCGGTCAATAAGAAAGCTGTTTTTTCGTTTTAGCCCCTGCCAGTTTCTTATGGCACAGCGTGTTTGGTCATGTCAGGGGCTGGTCTGCGCTCGGTTTCTTGTCCCATGGTCGCGCAATACATTATGGTTGCCCCTTCCGGGCTGATTTTCGTTGTTCGGGCTTGGTTTCGCTTGCCCGCCGGTTGCATTGGTCTTCGGCTGCCCTTTCCTGGCTGGTTTTGGTTAGTTTTCGGTTGTCCGTCGGTTGCTCTGGTCACGCATGGCTCTCGGCTGGCCCTCGGTCGCTGGGTCTCCGGTCTGCCTTTTTCCTGGCCGGTTTGGTTAT